AGCCTTCTTAGCCACAGTGTGAGCCGTTAGTGATCTCAAAACCAACAAGATCTGTCTAACACTCATCAACCCTACCATCTACTACAATCCTGTTCCAGTCATCAAGTTTCCAAGAATGAAGAACCCAGCACTCGTAGAACAATGTTTATGTGCCCACGAGTATGATTCCATGGCCAAGTATGAAACCGATCCTGATCCATCGACCGATGACCGTCTTCTACCATCGACCGATACCAGCCGACCCGAATCGACCAATGAATACACATGGTCATCGATGGATACGATATTCTAGAAGATCGAGGAAGAGTTTCCAGACGGCGATTTTGGCACCAATGATTGGGAGAACGATCATTACATGCCTGAGTTAGCTAGCATCACTACTCAGGAGGAGTACGATGCAGAGTATGAAGAGGAACGAGCCACAGAGTATAAATTTCTTTGAGAAGACAAAGTCAGACTTCCTCTCCCATCTTTCATCTTTCGACCATCGACCGATTAAGACCCTTCTCCATCGACCGATATGCCCCAACCCAGATCGCTTAAACGACATTTTGATCAACGAGCGACAAAGCTTACTGGGCACAAGTCTATGTCCCACATGAACCACGAGACGGAGATTACTTGATTGGAAGCTGGGCGAGCAGTTATCATGAGAGTTTTGCAGTAGATACAACACCTCTACCATCCGCGATCCAACCTGAAGCACTCGTATCGACCGACACGGAGCACCAGCCATCGACCGATATGTTCCACAAACAATCGACCAATGCACCAGCTCAGCCATCGCTCGATACCACATCAACACCATCCGAGGTACAAACACATACTTTCGATTTTACTTCACTAATTCCAGATGCATATGGTATTTTCAGGGATCCAGAAGGTCATGCACGAGCACTAGATGGAAGAATCATTCCAATATCCCAAGAAGACGTTGCAGACATCCTTCAGATGGCCAATGGACCAGTCAACCCCTACACCCAACCACCTCGCTACCCTAACGATCAGCACCAATTTCAACAAGCATCGACCGATGCATGGAGACGAGCATTGACCGATGCATGGAGACGAGCATCGACCGATGCATGGAGACGAGCATCAACCGATGCATGGAGACGAGCATCGACCGATATACAACGCGAGTTTGGGAAAATAGCTTTCAAACACGGAGTTCGTCGTTTCTCCTGGGAAAAGAAAGACGAATTTGGTGTCTACAGAGATGAAGCTGGTTATGCCAGAGAGGTCAACAGAGATATCATCCATGTCTCTACAGAAGACATTGAGAAGCTGCTGAAAAGAGCCTCACTATTTTGGCTCTCTTGTTTCTGCTTACCGGAGCATGCTGAACAATATGCTAAAGGAGTTCTAGATTGCAAGCTCTTCACAGAAGCAGAGGTCAGAGATATGCTGAATGAGAGAACAAGTGAACACAACTGGGAGAAAGCAGGATTGAGCCTAGAACAGGAGAAAGTCATATCGAGACTTCGAGGATAAATACTATGGATTACGTCTAGCAATGATTTAGCACGAAAAGAAAGAGAAGCCCTACAAGAAGAAGTCAACATATTGCGTGCACAACTCGAATCTCAGAGACGACCATCGACCGATGCAGAACAATCAACATCGGTCGACAAAACCTTTGACGCACCTATTGAAAGTCACTTACATAGGCTATCGATCGATGACTCACCCAGTCCATCGATCGATACACGCGCACCAGACTACTGTACCAGAGAAGAACTTGAAGAAGCTGAGATATCTACAAATCTATTCAATTTTGTGGAAACGAAGATTACAGATTACTAGACGAGTATTGGTTTCTAGTACAGAGTGACGTTCAAGGATTACAGCGCACAGTGGAGGACATTCAGAAGGAGGTAGCGGATATTCAAAGACAGCTCGCTAGCCGACCTAACCCATCCCCATCGATCGATGAAGACAACAATACATCGACCGATATGAAACCTCCAGAATCGACCAACGAGACCCCACACCACGAAACCACGCAGCTGGATGCAGAACACATCTACAAAATGCTTGGAAATCATCAGTACAGCATCGCCAGCCTAGAAGAGTGGTTAGAAAGGATCCAAATTGAAGTGCATGGTTTGAAAGCTAGTATGACCAGAAGCGAGAAAGCCACAAGAAGCTTTTTAACTTCATGGTTTGCAGAATCACAAGACAAGGAGGATACTTGTTTCCCAACAAGTACCTGCAACCTACCTCACTAGCCACCATACCTCCATAGTCAAGTTAAATGACTTTAAATAAGCGCTGAGTGGGAGGCAACCCACTGTTAGGTATTTTCTTACTTACTTTTGCTTAATTTTTACTTATTACTTTTGTTTTTATTTGTTTTTAGGAACATAGCTACACGATCACTACCTCTATCGACCGATGAGACCCTGTCTACATCGCCCGACATTACCCTATCAATGATGATCGATGGAAGTGACTCACCATCGATCGATACGAACATCGGTCAGGTATATCGTTCACAATTTTGATATCAGTTACACATTTATTATTCCTTATGCTCTAATTCCGACTAGTTATACACCGAGGACAGTGTATGATTTAAGTCTGGGGGGAGTGATTACTGATGCTACTTTACCTTTTTGATCTCTTTAAAAAGCTTTCAAAAATTGGTTTTATTGAGTCAAGAAAGGGACAAACAAAAAAAAATTTCAAATTTTTCTTTTGCTTTTTATCTTACTACTCTTTAGCACCATTCGTAGAATTGTTGATTGCAGAAAATACTATAGATGCTAAAGTGGATCACCGATCATCCTATGACAACACTTTTCATGATTGTTTGGAAGAACCAAAGCTGATTTCCAACCTAACTTGACATCTATTGCTTGTCTTGGGGCTTGGTATATAAGGGATCGGAATCCTCATGCAAGTCTGGAAGGTAAAAGTCTCAAAAATTTTGGTTTCCTCCTCTCCTTCCTTTGGCATCCCCAGAAAATAAAAGATTGATATGATTTCCTGAGAGGCAGAGGGAGAGGTACATTACCCATGACCCCACTATTCTAAATCAAAGGAATGATCACACCTTGTGGAAGCGAGGGAGAGGTACATTACCTATGACCCCACTATTCGCCTACACTTTGTCAAAAAGAGGCTACAAAAGTTGAAAGATCAATAAGATGAACATTAGTTGTTCATTGGGATTGATATAAAAGAAAAGAAAGTTTGGGATTCAAAGAAGGTGGATAAAGAGAGAAAAAGAACCAGGATGAGAATGCCTGAAACATGTATGAGTTGAATCCAAGTGTTCTTTGATTGATACTCCCAAGGTAAAGCCTACACCTTTATTTTATGCATAAATGAAATCAGTAGAGGGGATAGACAGACAAGATTGTTTAAGTTGATTGGCTAGATGCATTTCGTTTCTAAGCTAGGATATGGTATAATGTACATCTGTAGTTAGTAATATGAGATGTGGCTTGCAACAAAGTTGAAGTAATGATTTTAGAGCTAAAGATTTTATTGAGTCCCTACTGTTTTTAAAACTTCTTCCAAAATAGACTAATGGTTTGCTTGAGGACAAGCAAAAGGTTAAGTCTGGTGGAGTTGATATACCATAGTTTTGACCCGCTTTTAGCCATGGTTTTGATATGTTTTTATAAGTTTTATATATGTTTTGGAGTCTATTAGGTATGTTTTCAGGTTCAGGATCACTTTGGAGTAAAATGATGATTTAGGTGCCCTTTTGGAGCTTAAAGGAGAGTTTTCCTAGATGACTATGAAGATCAGACAATGAGGACACATATCGATCGATACAAACCCTGTGTAATCGATCGATGACGCTTCTATTGAAGATGAAGTCGAGATACTCCATCGATTAATGTACACCATGTACCATCGATCGATATGATGCGTGGAGAACAAGTTCAACTTGGCCGACTTGAAGCCCAAGTCTTCCCAATATTACAAAAATGCCCTTGACGAGTTTTAACCTAATGGAACTCTTATTTATAGTTTTTGCCATTGTGTTTGGCTAGACATGCTTTTCATGCTTTTTATGTTCTTTTATGCTTTTGATACCTTTTGTACTTGAAAAGCTTTGCATACTTTTCTTGTTACTTTGTTCTATTCTATAAAGTATTTCTTTTCATCTTAATTTCTTAAGAGTTATAGAATTCTAGATTTAGAGGAAACAAACAAAGAGATTTGTTGTTCCAAGAACAAAAAGTTCAATCTTCTAATCTATGAGTTTCTATTATTACCTAGTTGTTATGAATCTCTCAGTTATGTCTGAGTAGATCTCTTTGTTAGATTTAGGGTTCAAATAGTTATGAGGGATTAGTCCCAACTATGGAATGTTGAATTGTTGATATTCATTATCCAAATGAACCCTAATGCTTACTCTAGAGTAGCTACCTATAGCATGATCATGGATGTGATTTAACTTGTTAATCATTGTCCTGAAATCATTTGGCATGAGCTTAGATCCTCTAGGGTTAGGCGAGAGCCGGTATATGATCTTGGTGAACACAGTTTTGATTTGATCTTATGCTATATCGATCGATACTCCTATAGAGTCATCGATTGACAGCAACCCATATCGTCCGATACCGCTGTCAAAACATTGGTCAATATTGCTGGCAATAAGATCAATGGATGTGTCTATTTAGCGACTGCTATTAGATCCATCTAAAAATCAAAGTTCTCATATATCTTGCAAGCAATTTATTAAAACATCTATAGCATTATAATCCTAATTATCTGAATAGCAACCTTGAATCTAAATACTTTATTTTATTGTTTCAAACCAAAATTCATTCTCTTAAGCAACTTACCATTGCTTACAAAACTGCAACTTTACTATTTAAAACCGATTCAACCTAGCATAATCATTTAGATTACTTTTATTGTACTCCTTAGTTCCATGTGGATTCGATCTCTAAGTACTACAACTGAACCTCTTATTTGAGAGAGTAATTCACTTCTTAGGGTTAAAACATTTGAGTGATATCACATTAGCATCTGACAAGATCTGAACAAGCTTGGCTCGGTCATCAAATAGTGAGTCAAGGATAAACTCACCAAGTTGTTTCCTGGTGTTCTTCTTGATGCTTACTTCGTCAGCTTCATTCAAAACTAGGTTCATGTACTCGTCAAAACCCTGTGAAAGGAGAAAATCTGAAACAACGAGAATGTCACGCTCTTAAATTCTCCAAATTAACATAGATATTGGAACAAAAAAGTATAGCGATACAAACTGAAACAAGGAACATCCAACGTCAAGTATGTTTGAGGATTAAACCAGTAAGGATGACAACATTGTTTATGTCAAGTTTCCCTGAACTAGCACTGAATCCTTTTAAAAAAAATTAATCTTTTTCACTCTGAATAATAAATTTATAGCAATAAAAATGATTTCAAAGGATATACAAAGTCAAGTAAGCAACACCAAGTTTTAAACCTATGAGAATGACACAATCACAAATCTAAAGTAACTCCAACGAAAACTAAGAAGAAGCGAAACGAGGATCATACAAAGTAGACAACTCCAAGTTTTAAGCGAATGAGAATGAAAATCATACATGTTTAGTTTCTCTGAATGATCACATAGTCTAGAAAAGATTAAACCTCTAACTCGAGAAGAATCAATGGATGGCAATGATAAAAAAAATATCAAAGTGACAGTAATAACAATGACACAAGCATCCATCTCACATTTTTTTCTGAATTAACACAGAGTCCACCTTAAAGAAGAAGAACCTTAATCTCATCAATTCATGCTTATGGACCTCCATTACTAACATAGTCAACATGCTAAGTGAAAAAAAAAAGATAGGAAAACTTACAGTAATCATTCCTTCAATCCTCAGATCTTTCTGCTCAAATAGCCAAAATCTGGATCCTAGCTTTCTGCATCATTTAGAGAGGAATCAGAACCACAGACAAATACATGGTTCTCCAAGAAAAGTCAAGATATAGAGATTAAGGAGCTTACATTTTGAAGAAACCTAAGAATCAAGTTCTAAGAGAGAAAGTAACTCAGTCAAGGAATAGAGAGAAAGTAGCCAAAATCAAAGAGAGAAGACCATAACTAAACTAAGAGTATGATACTTTAATCTCTTTCTTCCTCAAATCCTCACAGATTTCACCAGTAGAATTGGATTAACTAACATGTCTGATAACAAACAGAGATCCATCAGACTGATTAGACTGAACCGGAGGCAGCTGGCCGATCGATTGCGTTGTTGGTTTGATTGGAACTTCTGGCTTGTGCGGCAGATGAAGATGAAGAGAAGGACCAAGGTTTGCTAGGGCATCGAGTTCTTTGCCATCTCTGTCTCTCTCTCTCTCACGCAACTAATCTGTTCTCAAAAAATAATTGAAAAAAAGGAGACAAAATCTCGAGCATTGACTTAGTATCTAACGGTGCTGAAGGTGATCAGATTCCAACCAATTGAAAACAAAGGCGGAGAAAGATAAGAGATTAATTGTGGACCTTTGATTTAAAATCAATCAATGGCTCAGAAAAAAACAATACATGTTATCTTTTTTTTCTTTTTTATTGTTGTAAAATTATTTCAACTTTAAATAATTTAATATCATAATTTAACACTTTTAATATGTATTTTGTATTTAAAATTTAAAATTGTGTGACTGACTAAAATATTAAAAATTTAGATTTAATGTTTTATGATATAGATCAATATGAAGTATGTGGTAGGAGTTTAGGGATTTAGTTTATATTATGAATATACTCATTTATTTAAATTTTATAGTCTGTAAAATTTCATAATTTAGTATAAAATAAGTGTTATAAATGTAAAATGTTATGATTTAATACTTCTTATATAGAGTTAGAATATGATATAGGGTTTGGAGTTATAAGTAGGGTTAGAGATATATGTAGGGTTTGTATTATAATGTTTAAATTTGAATATTTATGTATGATATTTGAGTGTTTGGATTCTAAATTACGAAACTATTATTTATTTTAAAAAGTAAAATTTAATGTTTTATTATATATGTTAAAATGAGATGTGGTTTAAGGCTAAGGGTATATGTGGGGATTGTATTATAATGTTTAAATTGAATATTTCTGTATGATATTTGAGTGTTTGGATTAAAATGTTTAAAGTTGAGGATTTATGTATAACATAAAATTTAAGATATAGAGTTTGAGATATGTAATTAGTGTTTAGGACATGTTTAGGGTTTAGAACTTAAGGTAAATTATATAAAAGGTTTATGTTTGAAGTTAGGATTTAGAGTATAGAATTTTATGGAAGATCTAAGGTTTACATTTAGATTTTAGGATTATATTTAAGGTTTAGGGGTTAGATTATATTTAGGAATCAGGGGTTGAAATATGTCTAGCAAATCATTTTGTTAAAATTATATATCCCTAAATTTATAAATAAAATTGAGAAAAAATTATAATACATATTGCAATAAAATATGAAATTTATAGTTTTATAGATTACAATTTTTTTTGGTTCCAATTATATTTCCCTCTATAAAATTTGACTCCAAAATATTTTGAGTTTTAGCTCCAATTTATTTTTGGGCTGAATTTATGATTAATGTTCAGAACACTCCACAAAACACTAACAAGTATTAACATTTAGAAAAAAACATAACAAAACTATTCCCCCCCCTTTTTTCTTTTATATTCTCTAGTTGTATCAGACACCTTATTTCGTAGTGTTATAAAAAAAAAAAGAAGAATGAAGTGAAGCATGTCTTTGTGGTCTTCCTCTAATGGAAAGTTGGTTCGAGACACATGCCCTATATTTAGAGAGGAGTGGCCATTGTCTGGATGCCACAACCTATGGTTTCAAAAACACACAAAACATAGTCAAGATTTTGACTTAATAAACTCTCTAAATATGGATCCCATCATAAGAAACGAGAATCAATGTTACCGCAACAATTGATGGTGCATCAGATCCAGGAGAACCATGAGACACATCCATTTTAGTAATGAAAGTATGAACTTTTGTTTGTGAAGGCATCATTGCTGGTGAGCGCTCCATAGCTAACATGTAGTTCAATCCACCAAGCTGTATACGAAATAAAGCTTGTAAGGTATTTTATAATCAATCTTGAAATTCTAAGTGACTGAAACTTCAGTGTTCCGAAACCACCTTAGCGTTTATCTTGAGGAGAACATTTGTGATATACTGATTATTTATGTATTTGGTGGTAGGAGCAATACACTGAGTTACAATTCCTTCGTCAACAAGATTCTTTCCAAGGACCTCAAAAATTCAGAGACAGTTTCACATTTACATTCATTAGTTTATAAAAAAAAAGAAGAAGACTATATTCAAGAATAGTAGAATAGAGTTACCATTTGGCTGTAGTTCAAGGTCTGATCACACCTCTTGCAGAACATCTTTTCTACTCTGATATGGCATCACACCTCTTGCAGAACATAAACTTCTTGGCTGTAGTTCAAGGTCCGATCAAAGACCAGAGAGGCTTTAGTTGAAGGTCCGATCTAGGCTGTAAGATACCTCGCGGCAAGCCTCTTAATTTCTCATCGACTGGTTTAGATCATTTGATACAATTTACATTAAGCTGGTGATGCGGTACAAATGAAGACAGTAAGATGATAATGTATCAAAATGTTACCTTTGCCATGTCAAAGAGACATTCTTCTTCTTCTAACTGAAGTGTACAAAAAAGGAGTTTACTAATCAAATTATTACATCTAAAGATGTCAAAAGGAAAGCATTTCGGTTTAATGATTACCTCAGTCTCTTCGAACTGAATATTTGTGGTTTTATACCAAAAGATCAAAAGTGCTGTACATATGAGAGCCAAAAAGGGCTTCACTTTCCACCCGGATTTACCCTGCAAGACACAGATATTTAAACCTAGTAGTCTAAGCATAACACAAACAAGGTCGAGGAGGTTCTACTAACTAAAACCAAGATTTACCACATATTGAGGATTGTTTCTTCTCTTAACAAGTGACTTCAACGATTTGATCGACTTCATAGATGTCAAACCATTTCCATAAAAATATCTGCTACACAATAATTAAAAAAAAACTCAACACAAGACCACCTTAGCAAGAAATTACAAATCTTTCATCAAGAATCCGAAACTCACCAGAGTTTGTGTTCTCCCAATAACAGAGAACAAGAAGACACACTTTAACAAGACCTCATTCACTGGTCTAGATCGGATATTGGCTTTCTCCCAAGAAGTACATCTGCACATTACTTTCACGCCGGACTAGCTAACTCTTCACCAACCTGATCGTTAGAGGAGATCTGTCCACAGAAACAAAAAAAAACCGGTTCTTTATATCATCAACAGCAAACACTAGTCAACACAATTGGTAAAGAAAGATAATCTCATTGACACCAGATTCAAACCTCCGAGCGTAATCCTCAGCAGCCTTCACCGTAATGGCGGCTTGTCTATGAAGAGAAACATGTTTCTTCTGTGCCGAAGCCTCCTCTGCCGCTTCATCAATGCCGCCATCTCCAACCGCAAAAACCGTATGAGGAGCAGGCACGACTTTGGGAACCCTAATTGCAACACTAATCCAGTTGCTCACGACCCACCCTTCTGTAAAATCAAAACATAATCAGAGAGAGAGAGGTGGCGATGGTGGTGACGAGCTGGTGGTAGTGGTGGTAAAGAGCGTCGGTGTCAAAAGGAGTGTGGTGGTGAAGCTTCAATCGACGGTGAAAGATCAAATCTGATATTTTGAGGAAGCCATTGTTCCAATTGAATCTGAGACTTGCTCTGGTTTCTTGTATGGAGAAGAAAAAAAAAAAGAAATCAAAACTATTTTATTATATAAAGCCTGGAAAAAAATAACTAAGAATATTTTGATTAAGATTACAGATATAAAATAGCATCTAATTTTGGATATGCAATCTTAGGGCGCTTACACTCAGTAAATTAACGCGCCTAATTTTTTTCATTTTCCCGCGATAACAATTATAGCATTTTTAATTGATAAACGCTATAAAAAAAGCAAGTGTTGATATACAATAGCAGAAATGTCAAAAACGCTATGCTACGATGCTATTAATACCCACATTTCCTGTAGTATATCTATACTATTAAAGCTGAAGTACAAAAAGTTAAGTGTTTGGAAACATGAATAAGAAATATTTAAAATTATGGTGATTGGAAACAATGATAGCCTACAAACCTAATGGGCTTTATTTATTAAACTAAAGATTAACGTGGCCCAAAGTATCATTATTATTGATTTTGGGTTTTCTATCATTAATATTACTTTATTTCTGAAAATTATTTTTACATATATATACTCGTGTTTTAAATTTATTTAGAATAAATCAAGAATAATATATATTTTATTTATATAATTTATATTGACTATTGTTATAAGTTTTTAAAAGTGATATACTTGCTTTCTAATTCTTCATTGAAAAATTAACTTAAAAATTTGACTAAATTGTTTCGTGTATATAACTTTGTACCAAATTTAGCAAAAAAAAACCTTATAAACTATTACAAAAATATTAACGGGTCACTATATTATACCGACGCCCCTGTTACACAATACAATGATGAAATACAATATTTAAACAGTATACTATTACTTATTAAAATTGGAACCATTAGATTGTACTTTTTAAAATGTTTATATATACCATAAAAATAAAGACCCGCCCAGTCGGACGGGTTATGATCTAGTTACTTTTTAAGGATAAGTCTCAAACTAGAGTGTTAATCTCCTTTGTATAATCGATTTAATTTATAGTATTTTTTGTTGTATGATATGTTATTTGTGTGGATTCAGCTACAAGTTGGTTGTCTCTTCTCTTATTGAGGATGAGTTCTGTTTTGTGGGTGAAGGAGATTCAGTCACAAGTTGATTGTATTCTCTCTTAAAATGAGTCTATCTGTTAACGGTAAACTAAAGTTGTCGTTAATATCAATCAATTCGCCGTTCGTGAAAACACCAAATCGTAGCTCTAATTTCTAAAGATCCTAATATAAGAACGATCTTTCCCAAAGAAGAAGTAACCTTTGAATTCCAGATTAAGAAACAAGAAGAATACAATCTCAAGGTTTACTGAATGAATTGCAAAATCAACAACAAATCTTTTTATACTCGTCAACTAGCTGAAGAACACACCCAATCAAAATATAACACGTGTCGTCCACTAACTGGTTCATGAGTTACACTTAAACCCGCCTAACG